GTCACAGCTTTGAAGTTGTAGATAATTTTGTCTATCTTGTCCCGAAATCCAACGCAGGATAACTCTTGCCAACAGGTGCTACTTTGGACTGAGTAGGCAATTGAGAAGCAAAGTCCTCTCTCGACAAACAAAAACCAAACTCTATAAGTCACTCAACCCGTCCTGCTATATGGTGCAGAGGCTTGAACGATGACAACAACTGACGAGTCGACATTGCGAGTTTTCGAGAGAAAAGTTCTGCAAAAGATTTATGGTCCTTTGCGTGTTGGCCATGGCGAATATCGCATTCGATGGAACGATGAGCTATACGAGATATACGACGACATTGACATAGTTCAGCGAATTAAAAGACAGCGGCTACGCTGGCTAGGTCATGTTGTCCGGATGGACGGAAACACTCCAGCTCTGAAAGTATTCGACGCAGTACCCGCCGGGGGAAGTAGAGGAAGAGGAAGACCTCCACTCCCTTTCAAGCACCAGGTGGAGAAAGACCTGGCTTCGCCTGGAATATCTAATTGGCGCCACGTAGTGAAAAGAAGAAACGACTGSCGCGCTGTTATTAACTCGGCTATAATCGCGTAAGCGGTGTCTACGCCAATCAAGAAGAAGAAGAATTCAATTTTGTTATCAAAACGTTATCATATAGAAAATGTGACTGCAAAAATATTTCCGCATTATTTAATATCCATATATTTACTAATAAAGTATTAATTTTCTTTGATTTCAAATAGAAAATCAAATTGAAATCAATATGCAACAGCAATGCCTCGGTTCAGTTTAAATATAGCATACAATGTCTCTGATTGCTCACACATTAACACATTTGCAAAGAAGTATTCATGTGTTTTAATCAATTGTTAAAGTTCGCTAATTAATTCACAAACTCCTGGGCCAATTTGACAAAAGGTCATTTACCAAAACACAACACCACTTCCGACTGCTGTTCACACCAAGTTTTGATAGCACTATTCTCATATAGTTGAAATCAGTCGCAAAAAAAATAGCAAACGACAAAGTTTTACTGAGCCCACCGTGTTAAGCTTGCCACCAGGCGACGGTGTTAGGCTTGCCACCAGGCGATGGTGTTAAGGCTGCTAGTGAAGTTTCGAAACTATGACAGCATGAAACCAAACACTTAAACATATGAGCAAAGTGGTGCGAGCGACTTGCATAAAAACTAGACATTACTAAGTATTAGAATGTTTGTTACATACATATGTATAAATATGTTAGGAGTATACGCCCAGAAATTAGTAAAGTTTTATGAAGGTACTGCACGGTAGTCGATGATAGTTTGAGAGTGAATAAATGCATGAACATTAGGTTGTTCATAAGCTTTTTTTTTTTAATTTTATAAAACATATTTATATAAAAAATATTTTCGTTATAAATTTATGATTTSAAAAATGCTAAAATCATTATAAATTAAAAAAAAAATATATAAAAATTGCTCGGCAACTATTAAAAAATGTTTCATATATATTGGGAAGTCGAAAAAATGTTTTCGTGTTTTGTCAATATATGCCGTTGCAGTCATATATCTCCAGTGCTACCAATCAAATAGTGTCATACCATGTAGTATTGGAAAGGTGAGATTTTGTGCTTCATTTAACCACTAATTCAGGGTAGTTGAATAAAAGTTATAGCTGTTCAAAAAAAGGTGAATATAAAATAGAAATTCTAAATATTTTGTAACCTTTGTTTAAAAAATGTGAAGAATGTCACGCAAGCAACCAATGAAATTTGTGAAGTTAACGGAGACATTGCTGTATCAGTCGTGTACCACAAAAAGGGTTCGCTCGCCTTCGTTCTGAAAATTTCGATTTATACTGATGTAATAATGTCTCTAGGGAAAAGTGGCAAAAAGTGGTCGACCAAAATTGTACATATATCTTATTTATTGTTATAAATATAAAAAAAATAAGTTGAAGTTTGAATAGAAATACGAAAACATTTTTTCAACTACCCAATATATACTAGTATTTTTTTTCTGTAAAAACGAACTTTCCTAATAATGCAAGCATATGTCTTTCTGAACACCGAAGGCATCATATGTGTTTGTGTACATACAAAAAACCACATATAGAAATACTTTTATATGGATATGCTAAATGGTATTTTTTGTTGTTTTTTTTTTTTTGGTATGGAATCAAGAAATTAATAGCATTATTCAAGCACTGTCTAGCTGTGAGAGAACAGAGCTACACATGGCATACATTCAATACAAATACATGTCAACAGTTGGCGGAGAGGTGTGAGAGCACCAGCTAATAAAATCATTTACTTCTGCTGCCATTCAATAGTCACGCTATACAAATGTTTTCATGCGATGAATTAGTATGCTATTTGAAACAGGACCAAAGCGACTCCTAAGTACTAGGCATTTATTTAACCGTTAGGCAGACAGACAATCCACATATCAGTGTATGGAGGTGTGTAGACGGACTGTGCGGCAGCTAGTATGTTGATTAGGCGGGAATTGGTAGGCTGGCGCGACTCTGCCATAAAGGAAGTTAGATATCAATCAAGAGCAAATAGTGATACAATATGAAATTCGAAATATGCATACCCGCTGGCATGCATGGGTGGTGGTGTGCGTGTGGTAGAGTCTGTTTTTTTGATTGTTATTGTATTCGATTTGTTTTTTGCTGCCTGCTGTCATTATTGCATGATTGACGCGCATTTAGCCGGTATTTGGTTTCGTTGTTGTACATTACTTTGTTGACTTCAGAATTTTTATGTGATTCTTACTTTTTCTATTACTTTTTTTTACTCGTATTTACACTTGCAACATAAGTATATGCACAAATTTAGTTTTAGCCCATTATTTTATTGTCCCTTTCGTTGTTTTTCACTCCGGCAGTGGTAACGAAAACAGCTTCAGGTGTGAAGGTGGCAGCTGGAGGTGGCAATGGCAATGGCAACTGCACCAGTAACGGTGTTGCACGACGCACACCAACCACTGGGCCATCAGACGGCGCACGCCCACCACAAACGGTGGCTAAGGACAAGTCAGACGTCTCGGCGGGCAAGGAGAAGTCAGCATTGCTTACCAACAAATGTATACTGAGGACCATCACCGCGTTTCTGGCGAGCAACAAACGCAACTCCTACAATGCACAAATTCGCGCCAAACAGACGAATAGGCGACGTCGTCAGCGCAAGATGGACGAGTTAAGCGGCAAAATAAATCCGAAATTGTTGGAGAATTTACGGAAAAAGACAAAGTTCACCAAGTGAGTGCAAGTGCATAAGTGTTATTGTATAACGCTTATTTATTTATAAGAAGAATAAATAAAAAATTGTAAGCTTAGTTATTTTAGAGAGAGAACTACATATATTGAAGTAATTGTTACAACATTTTTATTTTATATATTTTTTTACTTTATTACGAGGAAGAGAAAAAGCATCAGTGCTACATGTCGTATGAGTAACTTTTAATTAGTGCAATTAGTTAGTGATGAAGTAGTAACGTATACGCCTCGCCGACACGGATATACAGGCAGTTCAATTGCTACGTATTTTAGGCCTGATCGATTTAAAAATAGCACGTTGTACAACTTGGATTAAGAAACTATAGACCTAAAACCGTTTTCGAGCCAGCGATTATTAAAGCGAATTTTAGCTTGTAAGGATTATAAAAAATTGTTTAAGAGTTTTTTCTAAATATCATATCATGCTATACAAGGTGCGTTTCAAAGCAAATAGGAATCTAGCGTCCCTGATGGCGCCATCTATATGTCGACTGGTGCATTAGAATCTGCTATTTTTATCGATTGGCCAGTGACATTTGATTGATTGGAAGTGAAGTTATTACGTTTTAAGTGTCAGTATGTTTGTGTTATCGGTGCGAAAATGAGCTTCGAACAAAGAGAGAATTAAATTTTGTTTTAAAATTGGTAAAACTTGCACCGAAACTTTTCAATTGATGAAACAAGTTTAATGGCGATAATTGCCTATCCCGTAGCAGAGTGCATGAGTGGTTTCAAGTTTTGAAAGTGGTCGTGAGGACATAACTGACGATCAACATGTGGGCCAATCAAAATCCGTGATCACCGAAAATTCCATCAAAACTGTGCGTGAAATCATCAAAATCAGGCGAAATTATCAATGAAATTCATGGAAATAGAATTGGACATCTCCAAAATATCGATTTATCGCATTTTTACCGAACATTTGAGCTTATGAAAGGTGTGTGCATGGTTTGTTCCTCATAAATGGACTGGCTACCAAAAATTGCTCAGAATCCAACATTCGAAGGACGATTATTTGACCAAGAATCCCATTTTAACCATTAACCATTCCTCGTATTCACTTGATATGGCACCATGCGATTTGCTCCTTTTCGAAAAAATGCGTTTGCCCATGAAAGGAAAGCGTTAGGCAGACGTAGAAGCCATTTAAAAGGCTGAACTTACCTTATATGTCGGTATCCCCAGATCGGATAACTATAGCATTTACACACACATACAACAGATTATTTAGAATTTTTTTTAGATAAAAATTAGATCAGAAGGCAACGGTTTGCTATTCTAATTTAAAGTATTTAACTTTGTGTTAGCGTTTCTATAGAAGCGAACGCCAATTATTTAAAAATAACTTGGAACTTGGTTTTTTTTAATACTTAAGCGAAAGAAATCGTATTTTCATTGGACTATTTTGTTGTGGTTTATCGAAGATAACAGATAAATACTGTTATTTTATTTTGCGGCAGTAAGAAATATTTGTAGAGGCAATAATAGTCTTTTAATTGAAAAATCAAAGTGTCTGTGTAAACAAGTGGATAAAATTGAGCAAAGGGAAGTTCGCAGATTTTTTATATTTTTTAGTTTAAGAGCTTTTTTATGTTTTTTTATTTTTATTTTGGTAGAATGTCGTGTGAAACACAAGTGACAGTTGCAGAAAAAAAATTCAATTGTAACAAAATGAGTGGTCTTTTAACCGCGAAATGTCCAAGCGTTTCAACAAATCTGCATGAGTCGTAGATAATTTTATTAAATTGGGTGTTTGCTATGGAAAAAACGAACGAGCAGAAAGAACCCATACTGATAGGAGATTTTGGAATAGAGAATGGAAAAAAATTTTTTTTTTCGAAAAAATTTAATTTACGACAAATAATGAAAAGCTAAATTATCTCCCAAGAAAATTCCAAAAAGATGAAACTTTGAAGGTTTAAATTATTGAAGCACATCTGCATTATACTTGATTTCTACCAAAATGGACTCAGAGTATTATGTTTAGTTGTTGGATCAAGTTCTGGTGACTTTCGCCGAAGGTTTTGTCGATCTTGAATTCATTTATCAGCAGCATACCGCAGTTGTATATGAATCGCAGAAGACTAAAGAGCTTTCGAAATCCAAACGTATTTCCATTCTTGGCTGATCAGCTATAAGCTCAGTTTTGAATATAGTAGAGAACTTTTGGTCCATGCTAAATATAAAAGTCTTCCGCTGTGGTTGCCTCTTTAAAGATGTTAAATAATTAAGGGGCTGCATGATCAATGAATAGCAAAAAATTAACACCAACTATATAAGACTGTGGGTACATGACGGAATACAATGGAGTTGACAGCTCGAGAAGACTGCAGGAAATGCCTGTGACAGGGCACCAGGAAAACAATGGAGCATCTCTTGTGCACTTGGAAAGACTACGTTGTATGATACACCGAAGAATTTATTGACAGTGAGGCCGCAGAGTCTGTTTAAATTCGCGTCAACGCAGATATCCTAAACCATAACTACTGCTCATGGACCTAGCAACTGAAATCCGTCTGGAATCGGAATTAACCAAAACTTGCCTATGCGTGCCTTATTGGCCTATCAGACTAACCTAATCTAACCATTCGCTAATAAACGCCATGTGACGACGTCTAGAATAAATTATAAAAAATAATGACACCCATATACCTTTTTAAAATAACTGAAAATTTAAAATAAAATTACCCTCTAATTTAATTTGCACAAAGTTAGTGTTTCTAAAAAAGTTTTTAATTTAAGCCATTTAAATAATATCTAATAAAATTTTTCTGTATATCTTAAAAATCGGGAAAATCATGTTTTTATAATTAATTTGCATGGTGTAGTAGCCATTATTTACGTTTTTGCAATATTTCAACTAAACTTAAACTTGTTGCTTTTTCCGATTTGACTCGACCATAAATAGATATTATTTCTTTTTTTACTATTTATTTTATTTTATTTTAAATTATTTTCAAGGTCAGTTATATACAAAATAAATGTTTCTTTATAATAGAAAGACTGTGCTTTCAATTGATGTTACGTGGCGTATAAGCAACTTCTGTACGGATATTTTACCAAAAAACCTTCGATGGACTTTATTGAAACCAATCTGATTTGTTATTTTACCTACAAATATTTTGATAAATCTCTATTGAATTATTATTATATTTTTATTTAATTACTTTCAGAGCTGAGATCGACGCTTTGTGTCGAATCTATCGAAAACTCATATCAAATTGTCAATATTCAGCAAAAGCATTAGCCACCGGTAGCTCCAGTGCGGCAATAGTAAAACCGCATGCAACAGTGGAGGTAAAAATATACGCAAAATGATTAGAAATATACTAAAACATTAATTTAATGCATTGAACTTATTAAATTTTGAATTCAATAATTACAGTAAATATACTTTATTTTATGTATTCTCATTTACTTATCCTCAATACCCACAGGGAATTGATCGCGTTGTGTTCCGCGAACTGCTGCACAGCACATTCGATATTGTAACCGAAGAAATTCTCATGGAACGCTTATTTTGTTGTTGGGATCGCGCACACGTGGGCCTACCATTACGTTTGGAGGGTTGGTTAACCGGCTTGTCGATATTCCTACGTGGCTCATTAGCCGAGCGCGCAAACTTTTGCTTTCGCATTTACGATTTGAATAGTGATGGATTCATCACGAAGGACGAGATGTTTACATTGTTGCGTAATTGTCTTATCAAACAACCGCAAGACGAAGATCCTGATGAGGGTGTTAAGGATTTGGTAGAGATTGTGCTGAAAAAATTCGACTTGGATAAAGATGGCAAGGTAATTTATACTAAAAAGTACCAATACTGTCAACTTATTAAAAAAAATTTTATGTTTTTTATATACTCCATTTTATGTTTGTGTTAAAAGCTTATTTCGAAATATGTTTGTATTAAATAATAAAAAAAGTTATAATAGTTTTCTGGTTTTTAGGTTTCCATAGAAGATTTTATGAGTACTCTAGAGGCCGAACCCTTGCTGTTGCAAGCCTTTGGGCAATGCTTACCATCTGAGACGGCCACTGTTTCATTCTTTTCAACATTACAAATATAAATTTCCAGTTCTACTGTTTTAAACTTGTTTAAATACATTAAAATATTTAACAATATATGTACTGTAAACAAAATATTAGCTTAGACTATTACTATGGTTAGAGAACGTAGAAAATGTCAAAGTTCTTGCAGATGTCTCGTAAAGTACACAAGTGTCCTATACAAGACCTTGATGCCGATCGTTCAGTTTGTCTGGTAGCTATATGCCATAGATGAGCGATATCAGCGGTTCCGACAAATGAATAGCTTCTTGGGGAGAAAATTCCAGATATCTCAAAAACTTAAGCACTACTTTTCGCACATATATCGTCAGATGGAGAGCCGAACATGATTATATCGGCTTAGATCATTATTCTGATAATGGCTGATATTTTATTTATATATTTATAGGGTTTAGGACATATCCTTCTACGTATTACGAACTTCGTGACAAACTTAAAATACCACTATAAGCAAAGAGGCATAATGTGACAGGTAAAGTTCACTTTATTAGAAAAATTTGTATGACTTTTTCCAAAAGGGAGGGAGATAGTTTCAATTTCCATGCATGTGATGTGGTGTGCACTCGGCTTGCTCGGTTACGGGGAATCAATTAAGACACAGCATTATCCCTTGTGGAGATACAGCCCAAATGATCTCAGATCTATCCTAACAAGCTTTGGAGCGTCATGAAATTTTGAAAAGTCACCAACTTGATTTCACTTCATCACAGCTCAAGCAGTCTGCAGGTTTTTTTCTCTATAGCTTAGGTTAAACTTGGTGAAAAGAAACCTTAGCAAAAACAGGGAAAAAAAATTTCAGTTCAGACCACGTAGGTTGATTTTTATGTTTCGGGATTTTTCAACACTAGCATTGCAATCTGGAAACTGGCAATTTTGTCGACATTTTTGATGTTATAAAGAGTTCAAACGAAATTTCAAATATACATTGCCGCCAAACCCTTGAATTAAATCACGAGCATTTTAGCGTAATTATTATACCCTGGACAGGGTCGGAGACCCTATAAAGTATATACGAGGTGTGTTCACCGGGTTACGTATATTCGAATTTCGAATTTTTTGTGGCGTTATGTTGGTACTCATGTCTCTCACTTATGCCGACAAGCTCGGCCATTTTGAATGTTCATTTAATTGTTGACAGCTGCTTTGCTTGCACGTGTTTTGGATCGCCTTCGATTTCTACCTATTCAAAAAAAATGGATCAAAGAACCGGTATCAAATTTTGTGTGAAAAACGAAATTAAGTGCGCGGATGCATTCCGAATGTTGACTGTGGCATACGGAGAAGCTACCTTGTACCGAAGCAACGTTTATCGGTGGTACTYAGAAGGCCGAGAAGATGTGACAAAAATTGGCTTTTGCACCACGATAACGCCCCTGCTCACACATCGTTGCTTGTGCGCGACTTTTTGGCCAAAAACAACACACTAATGATGCCGCAGCCACCGTATTCCCCAGATCTGCCCCCTGTGACTTTTTCTTGTTCCTTAAACTGAAGAGGCCCATGAAAGGACGACGTTACGCTTCTCTTAACGAGATAAAGACGGAAGAAAGGAGAAGATAAAAAAAATGATTTTTTGAAGTGCTTCGAAGATTGGAAAAACCGTTGGCACAAGTGTATAATATCTCATGGGGATTACTTTGAAGGGGACAAAATAGATATTCATGAATAAATAAATAATTTTTGAAAAAAACACAAAATTCGCCATACTTTTTGAACACACCTCGTATATAAATGATCAGTATATCGAGCTGAGTCGATTTAGCCATGTCCGTTTGTCGGTCCGTCTGTCTGTCTGTCTGTATATATACGAACTAATCCCTCAGTTTTTAAGATATCGTTTTGAAATTTTGCAAACGTCATTTTATCTTCAAGAAGCTGCTCATTTGTCGGAACTGCCGATATCGGGCCACCATATCATATAGCTGTCATACAAAGTGAACGATAGGTATCAAGTTCTTGTATGGAAAACTTTCACATTTCACAATGTATTTTCACAAAAGTTGACACAGATTATTTTCTAAATCAACAATGTAATCTTCGAAGAAATTGTTTAGATCGGTTAACTATAGCATATAGCTGCCATACAAACCGAATGATCGGAATCAAATGCTTGCATGGGAAAGTTTCGCATTTGACGTCGTATCGTCACGAAATATTGGCATGGATTACTGCTTAAGAGTGATATGATTTCTTTTCAAAAACCAAAAAAAAAAACACACTAGCTTTTAAGGAAACTAAAATGTTGTGTTAAATCACAACTTCTTTGAGGCCATTCAAAATCATAGCTTTTGCACCACTCAGATGAAAGTGAGACTCGATGGAGAAGATTATTTTGTTGGATTAAATAGTGGAAAACGAATTTTGATAATAAATTTGAATGATTTGTAAACGTTACTCTTTAACTAGTGAAATTGCAAATATTACTGAATATGATGAGAAAATATTAAAGACTAAAAAAATAAAAAATGCCCTAAACTAAACTTTCAAATCATATCATCCCTATTGAAAAACTTTTTAGCAGAATATTTCTATCCACAAGTAAATGTTTATTTGAAAAATGTTGTGAAATGAGTTCAAAAGTTATGTTTATTTTATTAAGTAAATTTCCGAACTTTAAAAATATCGAGCAAGCTCTTTGTGTATCACAATGCAAATTGTTGAATATTATATTTCAGAGCTATTGTTAAGAAAAAACTCATTAAATCTGAGCCTACTTTAAGCAACCAAACTGCCAAACGCCAAAAAGGTTGCCAGTAGCCAAATGGTTCACCAGTGTCATTAATAGTTATGCATACTCATCCAACCCCGACGAAAGGCAGCATGTTGCATGCGTCATGCAAGGTAATAAGCGTGTGTTTCAGCGGGGCCAGCCAACAACAAACAACAACACAAAACAACAGCAGTATAAATAATCAACTAGTTATTGCTACATGTGAACAAAGTGGCGCACTCAACGGAGATCAACAGTTCGCAGATCAACACGTCAGGGTGTGCGGTACAAACACGGTGATACATATACACTTTACACACATATATATGTAATTTATGTAAGAGTACTAGCACAACAAAGCGGCAAGCATGAATTATTTGTTTTTATCTTTTTTTTATGGCTTTATTAAAATGTGAATGTAAATGGAAATTGAAATTATTGCCACTTTGCAAATACATGATTTCAGTGGGCACGTGTACCTGCGTATATGCGTACGTAGTAATACATATATATATGCAAATAAATAACTTTTTTGTTCATATGTAACTTTGTGAATCAAATGTAGCAGGTTCATGCACCTACCTTTGAATTATTTAGAACAAATTATCATACATCAAACACTGTTTTGCATACCTAGACGCATTAATATACAGATATCTATACATATATACAAAAAAAAAGTACTGTTTTACTTCCAAAGACATATAAATATACACACCCACCCATCCATCTGATCATTTGTGACAACAAATTTGTGCACTTGAACATTCTCTAGGCGCTCATAAGTATAGCTTGAGGTGTCGCCGTCGATTGCGAAAGTAAATTTTATGTCATAGTTTCGCTGCCTTATTGTTATTGCTGTTTTTGTTTTTCCTGATCATCATCATATTCATCAAAACAATCAAAATAAACGTCACATCAATTTGTTTCGGAATTAATTTCGCCGTTATATGTGTGTATGTGTACCTAGAATGAGCAACGAAAGGGACTTTGAACGCTTGGATTACTGGCCAATTGTTTTTTATCCAACAACAACGACGAAAAAGTTATAAAACAAAAACAAAGAAGAAAACCGAATGATTTGTTGCTGCATCAAACCAGATTCAATTTAGAAAAAAAATAAGGCACGAACAGCGTGTCAGTTACCATATATTTACATATATGTAAGACTATATGTTTATTGTTGCGCTTGTGTGTAACATGTGCGGTAAACTATTTATATTGCTTGCTATTTAATGGTGATGCAGCCCGTTTAATGTCATTAAAAAAGTGTTTTTGGTGTTCGCTATTCAATTATGTTACTAATATTCTATGGAATATAGGCGTTCGCTATAAACTGTAACTACTCAAGAATATGTCTACAAGAGAATTTTTCAAAACTCAATTAATTTTCGGAGATACGTAAAAGCTTTTGCTGATCTCCAAGAGCTTTTTTCAAAAAAGACTTTTTGCGGTGACAACAATATCTCCAAATTATTGGATTACCTGAAATTAAAAACCCACACAGATTCCGTTAAAATAATATTAAATTTAATAACGCAAATCGAATGAATAAGCAAAGAAAAATTTGTTGACAAAATGACCATTTCTAAAAAATCGATTTTCGACCAAAATTTCGGCCGGAACAATATGATATTAATTTTATGTGTGTGTTCTTGTATATGTGTACATTAAGAAAATAAAATAAAAAATTGATTTTTTTTTGAAAATTTTAACTTCTACAGTTACAGCCCCTTAAAGAGTCTTTTACTCTATTCATATGACAAAATTTTTATTTTGTTTTTAAATTTGGAAACAGTCAAAAGTGGAAATTTTGAAACCAAAAAAGGGGTACACAAATTTTTTTACTCAGTTGCCATTTCATAAAAAATTATTTTTCCAAATTTTCCTTAGAACCAAACATTAATATTTATTTTATTTACATTAACATTTCTTTTCACTTCATCAGCTGTTAACCTCACTTTTTATCGTAAAGTTTGACATTTTTTATGGTATGCGTACTCAGAACGATTTGACATACGGGCGTTATTTTCGTGGTTTACAGTAACCCAAAATATTCTTCACGACCAAAAAATGGAATTAAATAATTTACGTGCGATTATATTTTACAAGTATCGATGTGGATTAAATCATCAAGAGTGCATAGATGAACTTCAATCCATTTTTGACGATGGAGCTTAATAAGCAACCAGTATTTATCGATGGTATGGTGAATCCAATCGAGGTCATAGAGCACTACAAAACGAATTTTGCAAACGTCTTCCAAAATCAGTTGTTGTTCCGTGATCCGCTGATTCCGCTGTGCAAA